TAAAATGTCTGAGGTTGTGATTCGGTTTTATAGAAATACAAGTTTAGACATTGCAAAGGACTAAAGAGTAAAACGTTAAATCTGTGTTGAAGAAATCGGCTGACTTGGTTGATTAAACATTTAAGGCTTGTGGGACGAAATCTATTTTCTGTGAAGTGATTCAATACACACATCTAAATATTATGATTAGCATATGGGAGGCACAATAGTTACAACTGAGTGAAAAAATTACCTACTTTTTAAAGTTGACTTTTACGGCCGCTAGTTGAGAGGAAAAACAAAGATTTTCTTGCCCGGTGCTTCGATTTTTTCACAATCCTTTAACTTTTGTTATTCTGAGAAAGAAATACCGATTTTGGCTCTTTATTTATTAAGGCGAAAGTAAAAGTGAAAGTAAATAACAAAAGACTTTTTCAGCTGAAAATAACCCTTAGTTTTTAATTTTTTAGTTATTCATGAAAGGCAAGTTTTGAACCTGAAAATCTCTGAAAAATACTGACAAGCGCTCAAGGCATATTCAGCGTTCTGAGAAAAACCCAAAATATCTCGAAAAATAAACACGAGGGATATCGGTGATGATGGTGTGGCCTAGTGACGGATCTGCCCCTTGGTGAATGTGTTGTTGGAATGTTGCCAACATCTGCATGCGTTTCCGTGTCTGCGGTGAATGGCTCGGAGATGCATCGCGGTGCTCCCTGACCTTTCCCAATGTAACGCATGATTTTTTCTACTATCTCCAGGGTCTAGACTCTGCAGTCGTTGTCATTCTCCTGTTGAGGTGCCCTCGGGTGGATTTCTGCTGGCGCTCTTCCGTGGTCTGCGTGGGCGTAGCTCCGTTGGCATGGTGTTAGTGGTTTTATTTCGCTGGCTGTAGTGCTCTTTATGGTTGCTTTATGTGTAACGAAGGTATAATGTGGCTCCTTGTGTGCGCCAAATTTCCCAATGAGTATTTAATCATCACAGCGTATGGTAATCAAAGGTGCCGAATAAGTGTGTGTGTGTAGTATTATCTTATCCTGCGAGTTGTTTCAATGATATGCGGCGATATCGTCCGCGTATCTAACGAGGTATGTTTCATTTGGCATCTCGGTGTTTACTACGCCGTCGTTGGTAAAATTTCGCAGATCCGGGTCAAGGATTGACCCTCACGGTGCCCCTGATGATAGTTGAGTTTGATGTGCCAAATTTCCTTAGCGCTCGAAAATAGCTTCCTATTATGTTTTTATAGATATCTATACCCCTAGGAGTTTTGCCTTTTTTCTCTGGCGCTTCTTTCATATTGGCTGATCTCTTGATGTTGAGTAACTTTTTAATGTCTAGAGCATTCAGTCAACTATACATACATTATATTACATAAATAAGTATCAAAAAGTAGCCTATATTTCTGCGTGCACGCCCTCTGTGTCTGACGATATGTTTTAATTTTGAGAAACACTGTTGGAACTAAATAATATTCAAACAACTCCCTTTTGATACCTAGTATATGTATACATATGTCTTCAACTCATTCCTTGCTTTTGACTAATAATAACTATATTAAATATCTCTACCTAAGACAACAATGGGAAAATGACTGAATGTTCGACGAAAGGCATAGAAGGTGCGACAGTAAGAAATGTCAAGTTATTGAGTACTGCCAACAGCAAGAGCACGAGATAATGTGCGACAAATGGCAGAACCATATAGAATTGCCATTATTGCGAAGCGGCGCATGTACATAAGACCGCTGGTACAGCGCACGCAAAGTTCAGTTGTAAAACAAAAAGCGACAAATACAGACCTAAATTGCCTTAGCTAATTTTGTAAAGTGTTGTTAATGCTTTGACAAGTATTGTAATGTGTTTATTGTACAATAAAGTTAATTGTACTGAAATTTGATCATTTTGAGCGTTTATTTAAGAATCCAGTGATAAGAACCGAAAGGATTTTGGGAAACCCGTCTAGTATTCAAGGAAAATAGTAACAACGAGTAACAATATATAGTAAAATCTCAAAACTCAAAAAAAAAAAAAATGTTTAACCTAGCGTTAAAAAAATGTTTCGTAGTCCCTTATTATTTGTTTCGATCGCGTTTGATTTTAAGTTCTAGCGAAAGCCATTAAAAGTTAAAATTGTGGGGCGCATTTAATACAATTGAAGTGATACAGTGTTTTTTTTTTTGGATTTTTGTCTACCTTTAGGTCTCTTCTGTATAAAATTTTGCAATATTTACTACGTTTATGCGTTGGTTTACTTCACTAAATCATTTCATGAAATGTACTTAGATAAAATAGATTTAGGCTCTTCGCTAGAAAGCAATACATGCCACATGCATAAGGCACAGTAATGAAAAGGCGCTTATTGAAAATAGCTGCATGCACAGCTGCCACATGCAAATTCCTAAAACCAAAATCATCTGTAAAGGAATTGTACACCATGAACTCTATTCCCATGCCAATGGCAATGCTCACGCAATGCGTCCTAGTTGAAACTTTTTATAGCAAACTTTTATTATATTAAATACTTTTACTATACTGTAAAGTTTCTACTAGGAGGGGGTGGTAGAATTAAAAATATACTAATATATTTTCATAAAGTATTAAATTAAATTAAATGTCAACCACAACCACAGATAAAATTTCTGCACTCAAGCTATGCAATTAAGTATGTGGAGAAATAAGAAGATTTTTCTAATGGAATGTTCCACGCTTGAGTGCACTTTATTGTTTAAAAAAATAATAATAAATTAAAATGTCAATAAAACAATGTGCAATTATGATTCCGGTGTTGCAAAAATGTTTGATGTGTACATACATACATATGTATGTATGTATTTACAGTATTATAGGAAAAAAAGTCAAATTCGTAAAATTAATTTTCATAAAGCGAACAAACTAATAACAGCCATCAATAAAATAACAATAAATTCATAAATGTGGCGGAAATGGGAATTCGATGAGGTGAAATATTGAAAAAGTCAGATGAAATCATTGCAAATATGTATGTGTGTATACCAACATATATGTATTTAAATGTATGCATAAAATATATGTGAATAGTAATTGAAAGCAACTAAACTAAATATAACATTTCAAAAACAGACTTTTAGGAATTATGCATGGTGAAAAAAACCCATAAACATGCATACATATATAGCTACACAAATATATAGGCAACGTGTACGGGGAAACATGGAAACACGCATCGTTGAGTTCTATTAATAAGCTTTTTACTACAGAATTCGCATTGCCATTATAAAAAGTTACTCTAGAATTTACTTATGAGCGCATACCATTCATATACACATACGAATACATTACTATGAGCATTCCGTTTATTGCATTTCCAAACTGCATTGCGCTCATAAAAAAATAAAAAATAAAAAAATAAAAATCATTGAAGAATCTGACAAATATTCTAATGATTAGCATTGGATTTGTGGATTCCAAAAATATGCAAAATCACACGTCATAAATTTTGTTATGCCATTTGTAATTGAAACACAAAAAAAAAACTTTCAATGAAATTGATATAAAAACTATTTTAATCCTAATATTATTCTCCATCCAAAGGCGCGGGTATATTTTGATCAACATTTGCAAACTACTATTGAATATTTACTATCCAACACACATCCGAGTACGAGTATGTATGTTATTCTAAATAAATTCTGCAATTCATCAACAGCGCTCTGGCATGCTGCATATTTCATTTAAATACCTACTCGTACAACCCTGCAGGAAATGTATCTAACTAAAAGTTAACTTGAAGTTGATTAGGAAGGAACTAAAGCTCAATATTATCTGAATATTTTCTTTGAGGAAAGCTATTTAAATATATTTCTATGGCGATGACCGCGAGATAGTCAAGGGTGGTTACCTCTGCATTAGATGTCAACTAACTTGTAACCAACTATCAATGAGAAAAACAAAATACTTTTTTTTTTACTTTTTTATTTATTTACTTAAATTTATTTATTAATTTTACGTATTTGAACTCCGACAGATGTAACTTTAAAATGATAATATAAAATTTTGATCTTGCTTTTATTTGTTCTCAATCCGAAAAAGTATTTGTGAAGTGCAGAAAGAAAGTGTTTTCAAAGTAAAATTTGTATAAGAATATTTAAATACAAACTTGCTTAAAGAAAACAACCTCCCGTTTACGTCTGCATTACTACTGCATTACTTGTCAACTTGTTTCAAGTTAGCTTTTTGTAGTTAACTACAAGTTATATATTTTATAGAAATCCTGCAAACAAGCTAAGTACAAGTGGGTTATTTTTTCATCAATTGATAATTTTTTTCTACGGGGAAATGATATAGACTTTAGTATCTGCGGCTGTTAAATAATAAATATTTGCTATTGATAAATACATACATACAGACACTCTTCAAACTTGTATGATCATTGCTTTGAATATCAAAAATCCAAATTAATATTCCAATAGCATCACAGTAAGATTCGTATGTGGAAGTATGTGTTATTTTCTCGTTATCATATTTTTCCACTTTCTTGTTTGTCCAGCTTCTACTACAAATTTTGCAGTATAGTAGAAATATTTTTATACACGAGCGCACTTGTGCATCGAAAAAATTAACATCCTTATTGGGCCCCCACATACAACTTGTGAACCCTCATATTTTTTTTTCATACCAACGTAGACCCGAGTAGAGTCTCCCGTGGACGCTTTAAACCCATAACTTTCTTATGCTATTGTTTAAATGTCTATCGCTGTTTTTATGATCAACTCGCACTGAGCAGTAATTTAAAAATACATAAATAAATGCTTTTTCATATCAATATTTTCTTTCATTGTTACATTTAAATAAAAGGTTTATCAGAGCATTTTTATTTTTACAACAGCCGCATTTTACTTTTGTAAGAAGCTTAAAAAATCGATAAACAATAATTTAATAACGCCGATTTTTTAACCACAAATTACGCCGAGAGCCTATAAAAATTTCAATAATTAACATCAAACGCGCATAGCTGAGTTCAGAGTGATATGGTTATTAACAATGGCGCTCTTTGATTTCGATTATCTCAACCATAAATCGTTTAATCCAAATGTTTTGGTAGGCAACTGGTTTGAAGAGCGCTGCGATCGCATGGTCGACAAGAAGGCCATTGTGCCAGGTGTGTATGGACATTCCGAATGTCCCGCTGAACATAGTCTTTATGACGAAACCTATCAGCGACCAGCGATGGAGAAGCAATCCTTTCAGGAATTCAAAAGACAAGCCTTCGTAAATCGACTAAATAGTAATGAAACCCATTTCAGAACGAAAGACTCAGAGGAATTTTTGAATAATATGATTACCACATCGGACATTATGTATAATATACGGCCGGCAAAAGCACGAGCCGAAACTGCAAGCGGACAAAAGTTGATAGAGAAAAATGAAGATTTATTAGGCACTTACAGTCATACGACAGAGACTGGTATACAGCGGAGCAAATTGCAGCACGATCGTTTAGGCGAACATGCTAGGCGATATCAAACCACGTACAGTAATGATTTTCAGCAGAGGCGGAGCTGTCCACGAGAAAAGACTTTGAGAGAACGTTGCCAGAAATGTAAAAACCCACCACTGTTCCCCACAGATGAGTGAGTACCTTTGAGAATGCGCGGAAATATTTGACAAATCGGCGAAATAAATTAAAAATATAAAAAACTGCAATTCCTTCTAGGCCCTTAATGTAAAAATATCCAAACGTTTCAAAAGAACAGAAACTACCGTAAATACGTTCAAATATACTTGGATATCTGCCAGACGAGATTAAAATTTTTTGACATTTTAAGATAGAAACTGAGCATGGGTATATTTATTTTTAACCTTGTCTTATTATAGACGGTCCGTCTGACTCGCCTGGTCGTTTATGTACTGGTTGACTTGCCCTTCGACTAAACACAGTTAAGGAAGGACCCACTGAGAAGGACCCAGAGTAAAACTAAACCACATTGGTAGAACCCCAAGTTGGGAGCTCTCACAAGGCAAGTCAAGGAACCCTTCAAGCTAGTCAAGCTAACGGAAACTACGGAATATTGGGACGAGAAAAAACACCTAGTAAAGTTAAAAAAATAGCTAAGCTAAGTGGAGCTCATGGCAAAGCTTCTGCGGTCACATAAGAAGTTTATCCAAGACCGATTAGCTAAGGAAAATTTTATCTAAAGGTAATACCGCACAAGGAACTATTGGGGACGAGGATGGGATGTGGGCACAAAATAGCGAAGAATCACTCGAGATGTTACTGAACGCATACTTCCCGCCAGGACCCCCTGAGTCGGAGCCGACAGAAATGGAAACCGAAGAGTCAGATTTTACTCTGGAAGATTTAGTAACGCTACGAAAAATAGAATGGGCACTACATTCCCTTCCGGAATTCAAATCACCAGGCATTGATGGTATTTTGTCAGCTATGGTTCACAAAGCATTTTAGTATATATTGAGAGAGCACTTTTCTCAAGCAGATATGCAGCTTTGGAACTCTTTTCGCAGCCACCCTACGAGCATCCTGTCTAATTGTGCACCCTGCGGACTCCACTGGTTGGCACAGGCGTATTTTTTAGTGTTCCGAAAATATTCCACAGGGAATTTCGAAAAAAGATAAATAGTAGATTTTTTGAACAAATTTGCATTTGAGAAAAGGCACATGCAATACTTTTTTGGAACATTAACTTAAGAAATTCGTGATTTTCTTATACTGAACATATTTCATTACATACATATGTATATGTCTATGTATGTATCTATGTACATATGCACATATACAGATGCGTGCGCATGAATAAATGCGTTCACGGCTCATTTGTTTTTCCCGCCATAAATCTTAGCATAAGCTGAATGTGCCACATATGACAAAAACTCCAAAGCAGACGCATAACTCGAAAATCCGAAAGGATATTTCTTTATAAACGTATCCATTTTTGCTTTTTGTAAATTATTTCCCATACATGCATAGTTTTCATGGAGGAATACATGCAAGTAAAAAGGAAGAAGTAAGCCGCTGTGTTGTAGTGATTAGCAGTGCGCGCTACCTTACCGCAGGGTCTGGGTTCAAGACTGGTTCGTTCGTCCCAATATCAAAAAGTAGAAAAGAAAAATGTTTTTTTTTTTTGTAATATTGGTCGCCCCTCCGCAGGCAATGGCAAACCTTCGTGCATGATACAAATAAATGTTTGTATCTTGCCTCCGAGTGTATTTCTTTCATGAAAAACAGCATCACCCAAACATGCAATCGCCGTTCGGAGTCGGCGTAAAACTATAGGTTCCTCACCTTTGTGTTGTGTGACAACATCAAGGCGCACGCCTCAAATCGGAGAAGCTCGGCCAAACACTAAGTTATGTGCAAGCACCTTTCTATTATTAAAAAGGAAGAACTTTTGTAAACCTGTGCAGTATCCACTTCTCTTATATAGATGCACAAAAGTTTCAGGAGGCATAAAACTGAATGAAATGATTGGTGCCACAAATTGGTGAGTTAGTTTGGTTTGACTTTCATCATGAAAAGACTAACAAAAGATTGCTAATTTTATTTAGAAAATCATGTTTCAGTTCGAAACAAAATCACAAACCTTAGCTGATCACTGTGGTATTTTCTACTACGCCTCAAAGTTTGCTACTGCTAGAAGTATCCCACTACTTACAACACAAATTTTTAAGATTTTTTGTGCCACATGTTGCGGCGTACTAGAAATCACAACAATCAGAAATTCTGACTCCTAAATTATTTCTTAAGCCTTTACTCATCCGCATCCGTATTGTCATCCGCAGATGTCTAAAATTCCACAACCGCATATTCTTTACCGAGAGATTTCTGAAAGCGATCGACCGGCACCCAATTGATTGTTTCCTACGCTGCGAAGTATAATCTCTAAGGCTGCACATAAATGTGCAGACGAAGAGCTGGTAGGGAGTACGAATTCTACATTTGGATATCCGCAATACTAAGTACGGCTATGTGTTTTTGAGATAGAATGAAGTTGAGTCAAACCTTCAGCTCCGCTCAAATTAGGAAAAGACCAAACGAGGTTTGGGCTTGAGCATGTTAAAGTTTAAAGATCATTTGACTCGGTATCCATGGAGGGACAATGAAAGCAAGGGCTCCCTCCGATATACGATTTTAGTGCCAGTTATATCAACTTTTCGCTGAAATAACACGAAATAATACTGCTGCCAAGTCTTTTCGCCGCCCTGCTGATGGGGTCTTTGTTTTGTGTTACTAAGCGTAATTGCAATATTTATAAATATAGATGTATATATATAGATGTTGAAAAAGTTGGTCGGTATAACGTTAAGAGGTATTTAAATATAGATAACATAAAATTGCCAATCTGCGATTAAAAGAGTTAAAAGCTCAAATTCTGCTATAATCCCATGGACCAAAATATTGCTATTATTTTTACTGCAACTGTATGTAGGCGCCTTAATAAAATGGCACCTTTGGCTCAATTTTAAGCGTACACTTAGCTTCGTTGAACAGTTTTTCTCACTTTATTTTCCAGCGTTGCCGCGAGCTTGAAAAAGAGTATCAGTTGTCAAGCAGAAAAAGTTTTGAAAAGTATCAAAAACCAACATAACTCTTGTTTTTTAAACTTTTATTCGAAAACCAAATAATAAATAAAATTTTATAATTAAATCCATAAATATCAAAAAAAATTTACATTACTTTACTTTAACAAAAACAGAGAATCTGTATGCTTATTTGCATAACGAAAAACGAACTGGGTTAGCGGCCCTACTAAACCACACAAAACATATCCTGAGATTTGTACAAGTTAATTTTGTGCAAATTACTATACAATAAAATTGCGCAAACCTTATTTTGGAGAAACGTTGCTCAAGTAAGTAAAGTATGTGCAAGAAATATGAATGTGCGTTGTATATTTTGAAAGCTTCAGCTTTAAAACGCAGAAAAGAATATACATTTTTTTTTCTATGCTCTTATCGATATTTTACAGCACGATCGGGACACCAAAATCAGAACTAAACTAACAATTACACAGTTTACACATATGTTAGTGTTTGGCCGAGCTTCTCCTCTGATTTATGGCGTGCGCCTTGATGTTGTCACACAAGGCAAAGGGACCTACAGTTTTACGCCGACTCCGAACGGCGATTGTATTTTTATGAGAAGCTATTTTTCATGGGAGAAATACACTCGGAGGTTTGCCATTGCCTGCCGAGGGACGACCGCTGTTAAGAAAAAACCTTTTTCCATATTTTTTTCCCGATGTTGCTTTGACGAGGGCTTGAAACCAGGCGTTGAGGAGTGGAAGCGCGCACTGCTTACCACTACACCACAGCGGCCGACAGTTTTCGCCATACGTCAGACAAATTATTGTACAATAACACAAACATGAGCGCGAACTAGTAATATTATTCATAGTTTTCAAAAATTCCTTTCTGGCAGCCAAAAGTATGTAAATGGTGCAGTTGTAAATAAAAAAGTATCAAAGTACCAAACCATAAAGTTTAGAAAAAAAGTGTCAAAAATAATACAGTTGTATCAAAACGGCAACGCTGTTCCTTACGTGCTAACGCTTAACACAAACACCAAAACTTATCGGCACGTGTGCATCTTATTTTTGTGCACGAATATTAAATCATGAATAAAAGTAATAATCGTAAATATATTTTATGGGTCATCGCCATGTGAAGATGAGTGAAGAAAAAAAAATTCACAGCTTGGGCATTGCTCTTTGCTGCAGTTTTTCTTTTAATGTGGTAAACATTAGGGTCGTCGAAGAAAAAGTAAGTAGGCAAAATATAGTAAAATTGTGTATTTAGTTTTTCTCTCTGACGTTCAGATTTTTTTCAAAAAGGACTTAGAAATTTGAAAAATGTCCTTTTTAAAATTTTGTCCTTGAGTATTTTTGAAAGTTTTAATTTTATATATTTTTTTAAGCAATTTTATGTTAATATACACGTGAACTTATACTCTAATTTCGTCCTCAAAAATTTATTAGCTTAAAAATATTAAATTAATTAAAAACGCATTGTCAGTACCTATACTTCCTTGCCAACAAAAAACTTTAATGTTTTTAAATTTTACAGGAATTTTTCTTATATTTGGTACTCGTTCTACCTTACACTGATTTTTTAAAATAATTTTTTGAATTAATCATTAAAATTTCATAGTCCTTTTAAAATATCCTAACGTCAGAGTGAAAAAATAAAAACGTTGCTTTACTATATTTGGCCCACAGTTTCGTGGGTATATTGATTGTTTCGCGTGTTTTGCATTTTTTTTTTTTGTGCACCGTGTTTTATATGGGGGGGAAACAGTTTTTCCTAGAAATGGTATAGAATTCTTGGAAATCAATATTTTTCGATCGGAAAACTAAGTTTGGTTATTGAACCATTTTTTATTAGTAACTATTTTTTTGTAAGTTCCCAAATCTTCAAAAAAAAGTGCAATGGGAGATCCATAAAAAATCATTAATAAAAAAATGGTAAAATACACAAGTCGGTATTATCAACGGAAGTCTCCTAAAGAGAAGCACAGCTTTCCGATTTTCGATAAATCTATACTAATTCTACGAAAAATTGTTTTTTCCCACATAAAATATTTACATGGAAAACTTTGAGCGCATTGGGCGACCTCTAAA